ATTTACCGTGAACTAAATTCAAGATTTTATGATAGACAATATTTTTGGTACAACAAGTATGTGATTTGTTTTTGACAAAATGTTTGATCAAAACTTTTATATTTTCTCTTGTTCTAGTTTGGGACAATGCAACATACAATTGGCCATGAGAAAATACAGGTTCTGGAAGATATAAACTAGCAAAATCTATAGTTTGACCTTGAGATTTGTTAATGGTCATTGCAAAACATGGACGAATTGGAAATTGAGTTCTTTTAAATGATATAGACTGTTTATCGCCTTCAAGAGGAATGAATGGAATTCTAGGTAAAAATACTTGCTTTCCACGATATTCTCCTGTCCCAATTTAAGCTAAGATAACATTCTGCTTAAAGTCACGACAAATAAGTCTAGTCTTATTGCATAAACCTTCTGCAGGATTAATATTTCTGAGCAACATAACTGGACAATTTTATTTTCCAATATGAGTTCATGTGGAGGTATACCGTTTGGAGCTAGACTATTCAAAAAATCTTCATCAATAAATCATTCACTTTTATTAATCACTTCATCAAAACTAAAATATATAACTTTCTCTCCCGAAATTTCTTTAAGTAACATATTGTTTATTAAATCTACATATTTATTTTTTGGGGTTAAAATAATTCTATTCATTATAATATGTAGGTTGTCTCCATATGTCTGGAAATTGGAAAACACAATGTCAATTAATTCCTTCAATGATTTAAATTCATCTTCAAAATTGATGGTAATATCTTCAGGAAGTGTAATCTTTTGGCATGAATGTGTTCTCTCTATTCCATTTCCAATCTTCAGCAAATATTCAGAGAATGAAGGATCTAATTTAGCTATCATATTTTCGATTAATGCTAACTGTGTAAAAGAACGCCATAAATGCGAAAAAACTAAACTTGCCTTCATTATATCGTATTTTGATCCTCTTTGTACTACCGGTAAAACTTGTCGAAAATTTCCTCCACACACAATGACTTTTCCACCAAATGGTAATTGACATTCAGTAATGTCTCTTGACATTTTATTTAAAGCCTCAAAAGCATATTTATGAACCAATGGTGTTTCATCCCAGATTATTAGCCAAGCCAATGCTAAAAGTTTACCAAGCGCAGACTGTTTACCCACCTAACAACGCATATCACAACTTACTTTAAGCGAAATTTTGAATCTTGAATGTCATGTTCTACCAACTGGTAATAAAGATGCAGCTACACCTAATGATGACGTTGTTAGTGCGATAAGATTTTGAGATCGTACACCAAAAAGTAATGTCTTGTACAAATATGTTTTTTCAGCATCTCCTGGGCCATCAATAAAAAACATTCCATTCTTATCATTTAAAACACAATCCAAAATAATATCATAGGCATTTTGTTACTCTTTATTTAAACTCTTACTATAATGTATGTATGACTGAAAATTAATATTGGTTGTTTCTTCAGCAGTCATGGTTTCAAAGGTATCATCATCATTCATAGTTAAATTAAAATCTACCAAGCAAAAATCAATTATATTCTTACCAGCACCTTCTAAAAAAGAATTTATAGTGTAAAGCTTTCATCACAGCACTTTGTTGTGTGAAACCTATATGTAAATAATCTTCTATTATGAAATTCTTAAATTTATCCCATAAATTCCTTGGATTTGTAGGGCAAGACAAATAGTCGCCACAGTGATATGGGCATTTGGTAAGCAATTGCCTCAGATAAACACGTTTCAGAATAGCTATTTCCACTAAGAAGACCATGGGAATGTGTTGATCCACAATAAGTAGATAAAACAATACCATTGACTTTTTTAAATCTTTAAAAGATTTTGGCCCTCTAATATGATTTAGCAAAACTCTTAAAAAATACCTCTCACCTTCACATGGATTAGGACTGACTATTCTACCAATAACATTTTTGCTTTTTCTGGGACTCCAAATTCGCATGGGTGTATCCCATACGAAATAGGTTGGAAATTTTTTATACAGTAGAGTTTTTGTCTTTTCATTTCAAATATTCATTCTAAAAAATTCTGTTAACATTGCTCGGTGAACAGAATCCTTATTTATAACATTCGATAAATTATCTGTCTCCTTGTATGTAACCGTTTGAGCATCTTTAGTAGGTAACTGTAAAGAGATTGCTGTAGGAGATATATTGAATAAATCAAAACTAAATATCCTCTACATAGCTTCAGGTGGAGATATCCATCTAACTGTTTGGTATTTTGAAATCTCATCAACGAATTGTTCGTTTGTTTCTTTATTTAAACTAAAATGAATGCGGTAATGTCCTTTATATACATACTTGTATAGATATTTAACAGCTTTAATTGAAGAACATACCTCCACATTAATGTGACAATCATATTTAGCTAAAATGTAAGGATTATACAGTACAACCAATCTATTATCCAACATACACATTCTTACTTTAACACTTACACCATCATTGCGACGCTTGTAAAGTGGTAGGAATCATTACCCAAAAAAGTATTTTCAATGTAATCTCTCGGATATTTATTTTTACACAAAAAATTCTTATCTATACAAATATTCTTAGGATTTAAATTCCCACAAGGATCATGCATCATATGTTTTACAACAGTAGCATGCAGGTAAGGGTATTTTTTTTGTCCGGTATTTTTTGATGACACAATTTCATCGACTTGTACAGAGTTTTGGATCTTAGATTTTTGTTTAAATATAAGGAGAAAATGAGCGTGAGGTAATCCTCTTTTCTGAAATTCAATCACATAAACATATGCAGCAATAGGACCCAACAACTTTCCCTTAATCAAATCTGTCTTCAGTTTCTCAAACTTGGCACGAAATATTCGCACTAACAAATCTGGCCTATTCTGTATTTCATCATTGTATTTCAATTCACATTTTATTTCAAGCCAATTTGAATTACATGTCATTGTCAAAAACACATCAGGTTTACCATATCTCTGAACTAAAAACATTGCATCCAAATATTTTTTAGTCATGTTCCTAGGATCCCCAACAAAATCAGAAGGCAACACCAATGATCTACCAATTTTATAACCTCTATTCTCACCATTTTATATACTATCTACAATTCCCTGATATAGTTCAGCTCTTATAACCTTTTGGTTATTACGAAAGTAGTCTAATTTTGCTGTTTCAATTTTCACATACATATCCACAACATATTGCTGTAAAAGTTTGCTAGCATGTAAAAGAAAATAATTATTTACACACCTGATTTGAAGCTTGTAATAACATTATTCTCGACATGATACAGTCATTTGTTTTTTCTTTGCCTTCAAAACTGCAAGAAAGAAAAGAATATATCAACAAAAACTTCATTTACTAAATGCAATTAATAACATAAATAAATTAGTTTAAAAAATAGAAATTACTAAAATCGTTTACCATAGCCTTCTGCTTCCAATAATTGATCCGCACAGTGGAATGATTAACTTCTATTAAATTCTGACAAACTGAAGCTTGTGAAACACTTACATTCAGCTTTTCAATACCTTCAGGTCATCCAGGTTCTCCATACGGGTAAAGTAGTGGATATTGGAGAGGATCATAACAATCATAATAGTATTAAACTTTATATGCATTACCTGAATATCCATAAATTAATAAATCCCGACCTCTAGTATTTGTAGATGGGTCATCGTCAACCTAAACTACAGTCACTTGTTCTGATGTTGGTAAGTTATATATTCTTTGATCAACACATGATTAGACTTCAGTAAAATACAACATGATTCTAAATTACTAACTCCACTTAATGATCGGAAAAATTTTGAATAGGGATTTTTGTTTAGAACATCTATCAACTTTCTTAAAGTAAACTCATAAAATTTGTCAGAAGTATTCAGTCTATTACAAATTTCATTTTCAGTATCATAGAAGTATAACTGTAAATACGTTGAATTCTCATTCTTTGGCACAAGTGAGTTTATGAAATGGTATACTTGTCCTTGAACTCTGAAAGTATATATACCTTTATTATTTTTACACAATTCTTTATCATACTTAACACCAAACGAAATAAATGCAAAACAATTGTTGTAACTACGAACAACATTTTTAAAAGCTACAACCTTTTCAGATGTGGAAACAAATAAATCATACATTTCAGGATGTATATCATGTAACTGTAATTTGACATTTCCATCACAACAACAAAAGCCTTTGCTTTCTCTATAGAATTTTGTAGCACCACAATGACCACAAATTTTATAAGATGGCAACACATAATGTTGATGAGGAATACTTGCTTTACCAATTTTTTCTGCATATTCAACACTCATGCTCACGTTCCTTGATTCTCTTAATTCAAAACGTTGATTAGCATCACCTACAAGAAAAAAGAAAAAAGAAAAAAATTTGAAAAAAAAAGGAAATTGTCAGGAAAAAAGCATTCAATATAAATAAACTAAACATAATTATATATAAAAAATGACCAAATAAGAGCTATAAAAAAATCTCCGAAGAGTTCGCAGAGAACAATTGATCTCTGTGAACTGTGAGAAGTGCGGAGAAGTTTTCAGAGTTTTTTCTGTAAAAAAACACAGCTGATAAACAAATACAACAAATACAAGCCAACAAGATGATAAACTAAAAACTATAGAAACACAAATACGAACAACTTTTTTTAAAAAAAAATGTAGAAGTAAATAAATCATACTAAAAACCTTTCCATCACAACAACAAAAGCCTCTGCTTTATTTATAGAATTCTGTAGTAGAAGAATGAGCACAAATTTTAGAAGATGGCAAAACATAAGTATTTTCTTTACCAATTTTTTATGTATATTAAACATTCACACTTATTCCCTTTATTCAAAATGTTGATTAGCATCATCAAAGAAAAAAATATGAAAAAAAAAGAAAATTGTAACGAAAAAAGCATTTCATATAAATAAACTATATTACATAAAAAAAGACCGCTATATCAAAAAAAATCTCCGAACAGTTCGCAGAGATCAATTCATCTCTCCGAACTGTGCGGAAAGACTACTCTTCCCTCCGCACTTTCCGCACACTCTCTGCACAGTACGGAGTTTTCGGATTTTTTCCTAAAAAAAACAGCCAATAAACAAATTAAAACGCAACAAAGATTGAAAAACTAAAAAATAAAGATAAACTAAACATAATTATTATATAAAAAAATAACTACAAATTTAGCTTCTTCAAATTGCTAAGAAAAAAATTAGTAAGCTAATTTCTCCAAAGTGTGTAGATAGTTCTAAACTCTTGTGCCATCTCTCCATGCCACTTGATTTTTTTTTTGGGACAAAATCTGATAAAAACAAATGCAAGTACCAAAAAAAGCATAAACACTACTAAATATCAACCTGTTAAACTGAAGGTCCTTAAACTTCGATCATAATGAACTGTAGAATGAGGTTGCACTTCATGCATTAGATTTTTCAGTTGAGGATTCTCAACGAATGTTTGCTTTCTCTTTCTTTCACAAGCTCGCCTATTTTTAAACTAATCACCAACATTTTTTTCAGAAATAACAGGATAATGTATATGTATAGTTTCTGCATTATTTGGACTTTTATTTCCTCCATCAAATATGCATTGAAGAAAATCAACCTCTGTAGATGTAAGTATCCAACGTCGTTGTCTTCCCATGCCGATAGCAAGCTAAAATGCAAAAAAAATAGAAAAAATAAGATAAATAAAATAAAAATAGAAGAAGAAAGAATCAACGTAGAAACCTTTGAAGATGAAGTGAGAACATCTGGAATGTGGTCCAGCAAAAACAGAATTTTCCAAAACTAAAAAAAAAAAAATTAGAAATGAAGATATCAATAAAAAGGAAAATAAGGATGGTCGTGGGAGTACGGTTAACATGGTCACAAGTATGAATAGAAGCAAAGAATTAGAAAAAAAAAAGAGGGAAAAAATAGTGTGAACAGTAAAATGTGATTTCTTTACTATTGTATCTACAATTGCATGCCATCCACCTTTTTAATAGAAGTTAGATAAAATATATGGATAAAAATAAAGTTGACCCGTATATAACTATTACAAACTTTGCTAAACATAATGTATATAAGCATGTTTTGGAATTATCGCGAAATTGATCTTCAATTGATGGATTTCGGGCTTAGTTTCTATAAGGAATTTTAAACGATCGTGTGGGCTTATATGTGTAAATCATCATGTATTAAATTAAAGGCTAGCGAATTCGGTTGAGTCCATTTGAAGTGATCTAATAAGGCTTCAATTTTAGGTCGTTATGCATCCAATTAAAGTATGGGTTCTATATGTGTATAGACTAGGCCCCGATTCCTAATTCTATGATAGACCGAATTAGGTCAAAGGGCATCAGTATATATAAATGGTTGTGGTCCCCGAATCACACGTAGAGAAAGTATTGTATTGTTCATCCAATTAAGGTACGGGTTCTATATGTGTAGAGAACAAGCCCAGATTCCTAATTCTATGATGGACCGAATTAGGTCAAAGGGCATTAGTATATAAAAATGGTTGTGGTCCCCGAATCACACGTAGAGAAAGTATTGTATTGTTCATCCAATTAAGGTACGGGTTCTATATGTGTAGAGAACAAGCCCAGATTCCTAATTCTATGATGGACCGAATTAGGTCAAAGGGCATTAGTATATAAAAATGGTTGTGGTCCCCGAATCACACGTAGAGAAAGTATTGTATTGTTCATTCTCTTCTGCATCCCATCACAGAAAGAAAAGGAGACTACGTGTAGATTTGAAAGACTAAATCGCAGGATTCAAGTATTACATTAACCATATCTGATTCAGGTGTAATTCCACTATAATTCTCGAATTTCTTGATGATCTATATATATATAAAAGAAAAAGGGGGGAAGGTTCCTTGTTCCGGCTGCCATCGGCATTGCTGGCACGTAGCAGTGCAAGGCAGCCAGCGCTACTACTCAAGGAGGCGTAGCCGCGCCACCAATGAAAA